CGTCCACCATAGACTTTGTATGTAAACCTGCTGCTCCTGACGCTGAAATCGCGTTCGGTGTGAACGCACCATTAGTCTGAGTCACGAGTCCCCACCTCTGGTTGTTGTCCTCTACTTCCCTTCAGTGTGTGCGTACCTGGAAGCGTCGGCTGAGGGTCTTGGTGCACACGGCACACTTCAGGTCTGAGCTGGGACCCTGGCTGCCGGCGAGCAGCGCCTCCTGAGGTAAGCTGTAACCAGAGGCGGCGTGGTGGTGGTGCCGCAGCAGCTTGTTCTGGCTGCAGAACTGCAGCTGACACATGCTGCAGGTGAAGAGCTGGACCCCGACGTGGGCGAGGGCGTGGGACACGCTGGCTGCGCGGTCAGGGAATGAGGCGCCGCACACGCCGCAAAGCCCCAGCTCCGTCAGGTGGCTCTCGCCGTGCTGCCTGATGGCAAACGGGTCTGCGGGGAGAGGAGCCAGGCAGGCTTTACACGACGAATTCCTGCTGACCTGCAGGAGAGCAGAGGGCGTCATTTACTCAGGCTTTCTGAGGAAGTTCACTGTCGTGTAAAATGTAATAAATGCATAATCTGAAAACTTACAAACTCATATTTTATTCATAAAAAAACATAAAATGTTTAAATTGAGAAAATAAAGTAGGTAGATCTGATATCTTGGTAATAAATCACACAAATTAGTACCTGGCTGTTTCCTTCACTTTCACCATTCTCCACACACACTAGGTCATCCTCCTCCTCCTCCTCCTCCTCCTCCTCTCCCTCCTCCATGTAGGTCTCATCGTCACTCAGCTCAATGACCTCCCCAAACAGCTCCCTCCAGGCCCTCGACGGAGGGAACGCCTCTCCACACCCCTCCGTTGCTCCCTCATCTGGCCGGACCTCCCTGTCRTCCTGAGCCTGCCCCGCCTTTGCCTCTCTGAACTCCAGCGGGTGGTCTCCGCCCTTGCTTGTGGCCCCGCCCTCCACTAAGACCACCTGCAGGCTTCCCGAGGGGGAGGACGGCGCCTCTGCTCCGAGCTGAGCCGAAGAGTCTGGGAGGGAGGGCGAGTCGGAGAGAGCGGCCGCACCTTCAAAAGTCACTTCACTGTGTGTCACTCGGTTTCCACTCCCCCCGGCTGACCCCCCGTCCCCCAGGTCGGGTTCAGTCTTCAGCTGGAGCCCCGGGCCCGGAGGCCGCGCTCCCTCCATCTGATTAGAGAGGCTGCTGCTTGGCAGAAGAGGAGCTTCAGCCCTCTGCTCACAGCCGATGTGAGACTGGATGTCCTCTATCTTCAGGTCCAGAGACGACGCCATCGTCTGGACTTTACAATCGTTTCTGCTCGCTCTGGTTTGGAAAAGCGGCGAGGAAGAAGTGGAGGGAGTTGGAGCGGCGGACGGCCCGACTGAAGACGACAGAGAGGAGCAGGAGGAGGAGCACACAGAGGCCGTGGCGATGGCCGTCACTTCAGACGCAGCGATGATCAGCTCAGAGTCCAGGTGGAGGTCGCCGTCGCCGCCGCCGCCCGCCTTCGCGGTCATGGACGCCTGCAGGTCAGGAAAGGTTTGGTGGCACGCCCTCATCAGCTCGGTGACGCCGAGCCTCTCGGCCAGCTCGTACAGCACGCCCACATCGATGAGGTCGATCAGAATCTCCCCCGTGTAGACGAACGTCAGCACCTTCTCGAAGTTGAGCGGTGACATAAACTCCAGCGTGAACAGAGTGGAGGCCCCCGCCGGGGGCCGGGCGAACAGGGTGTGAAAGTACGTCCCCGCGCAGGCCAACACCGCCCGGTGCGCGGCAAAGGTCCGGCCACCCACCTGCAGGAACACATCGCAGTACTGACGCGTCTGCCGGCAGCGGTTCAGATCTGAGAGCAGGGTGGCTGCGTGGCCGGGACCCTTCAGCTGGATCCTCATCCCTGCTTCTTCTGCTCCTGAACAGCTGCAGTCCACACAAACACACCGGCTGCAAGAAGCAAGGAAAAGGACAAGAACAACAGGAAACATCTTAGTGATACAGTTATAGTGACCAGAATAAACCACTAGTATCACCTGTTGTTATTAATCTTTATTTTTAAACAGTTTATACATCAAACATGTTTACCAGTAGCTGCACTGGGACCTTCAAAAATAAAACGGTCTAAATAAACAATATAATCACCACATTATTATAACTGAGACATTAAACAAAACTAATAAAAACCCAAAGGTTTTTCAAATGTTTGAAGAACATTTTTACTTATTATAGCTTTGTAAACCCCATACTACTTTAATTTAAAGAAATTAGATTTGTTCATTAACAGAAAAACAACGATAGCTTAGATGTAAATATTTTATCTTACACTTCATTATAAATAACTTTAAAAYAGGGGTTCTGTCAGAACAGTCGCTTATCAACAATGTTACGGACAGTTTCTCTCGCGTACAAACTACTGCTGATGATGAACAAGCGCATAAAAACATTTTAACATCATTTTTCACAACAACACGAAGTCACCAACACCTACACACAAACATTTGTGTCTTAAATGTTATAAAACGCACCTTCTGTCTTTTGTTTTCAACAGAACTCAGGTGTTCGGCCACATTTGCGTACAAGCTTTGTGAAGCGGTCTGTCGCGTTTTGATGACGTCACGCAACTTTCACAAAGCCAGTGTGAAGTCGCCCCCTGCAGGCTGAAGGAGTTGTAATGGATCTAATTTATGTTTTTAAGCAAGTAATTCACGACATCCTTTAATGACCTAGATTTTTATGACATGCTGTTCATCTGCAGACAGAATGATTAAAGTCATAACAAGATTTGCTAACAACAGTCATTCTGAGATATGACTTGTGTTTATCTTTGTGTTTTCCATTGACCTTGTATCAAATCTTGCTAAGATGACAGAATGGTGTTTGTTTATATTTGAGGCCTCTCGAGACACAGTGTTCAACAGTAGTGTGGACAGACAGGAGCAGAGAGCAGGGGGACAGTCTGATGTTCTCTGTGTTTCCTGTTGTTGCAATAAAACTCAGCTGATCATCTCATGGAGTACCTTCATTCTTGGACCACTTATTTCTGTCTTTGCTAAATAAATATTACTATAACAGAGTCATTGCAACAACAAAACTCCATCACTGTACATTTACTACTACTCTGTTAGTAATACATCACGGTTCAATTTTCTGTGCAAACAAAATACACATAGAATAGAATAGAATAGAATAGAATAGAATAGAATAGAATAGAATAGAATAGAATAGAATAGAATAGAAT